AAGTGTGATTTTGAAAAGGGGTAACACTTTTGAATAATAATGACAGTGACCATGTGACGACCAAACGACCGATTGATTAATTCGATTGATTCGCCGCATGGAAACGGCGACATTGTTGTTTATTCCCTGATTATATATGTGATAAAATGTGCTTTTTTCATATTGTCAGCTTCTTTTATTTTATGTTTTTGTCATGTTACCTCAAACCCTGCAATTAAAAAGGTCATTCTTGTTTACAACTCTGGATAGACGATTGGAATCTCCCAGGTGTGCTTGTGATTTACATAACAAAGGATGTTTACGATCTACTGACTTGCCTGAGACAGCTGCCAGCAAGACCCCATTCTGATTGGCTTATGTGGGAACCCAGGCACCTGAATCTGGGCCATTTATTCATATAAATAGGCTGAACTGAGGACAGTTGTGAACCACCATTTCAACTGAGTACTCTGTGTGTTGCTGCTGCCATATTGTGAGACAAGTGATACAGACTTCAATCATCATTCTTGCAGACTTGTATGAACTGCTCTGCGATCTCCTGGTTTCAGAGGTGCCCTCCATTGCACACTTCCCTACGTAATCCCCTATTTAGTGACTTCATTCATTGTATTTTTCTGTCTTTATTTCTTGTAATTATTTTGAGAGGTATTAAAGCCAGGAGCTTTAACTTGGTATTTAGAGCGTGTGTGTGCATTTCATTTCCAGTACTATTGTCTTGTCCACCACATTCTCAATAACAAAATGCAGGCCTAACACTGTGACACAAATCAAAAAAGCAATTTAAAATACCAAACACTAGTATACATTTATTTTTTGGTTATTCATGAACAATTTTAGTTACTTTTTTGTACACAGAGTCACCAGTTCTTGGATATGGAGCAATATTTGGCAAAGTAGAGAATTACACTTCGGAAATACCCATTAACTAGCGAGAACTATATGTCATAGCTCGTACTGACAAGAAGTGGATAACTATTTCAAAACACTAAAATTATAAACGTCGACCCTGCCTTATATTTGGTGTACAAATGTATTTTATTTGCAAGCACCATTACACAGTAGTGTAATGTCATTATAGTGTATGCTAACACCAGTATATGGTTGTGTGACATCGTTATATGGTAGTGTATTCTCAATATATTATCTGCTAAAATCATTATATGTGTGTGTAATGTCAGTACATTATATGCTAAATAGCTATAATATATGCATACATGTTTAATACCGTAGTATGTCCTACATCGCTACGCGGCAACATTTCATATAACGAAAACATAATGTATATATAATACATATAAACACACATTTTTATTAATCAATGAAGGTGGTACAATTGCAGTCGCTTTAAGTTTAAGTTTTGCGGCATTTTAAGGGGTATTCTAAATCTGGAATGATTACGTGCGTAAGCATCCTTTATTAATAAAAACAAACATGGCTGCCACCAGGGTTTGAGTGTTCTCGACACAAAGACAATCGCTGATTCTGTTCTAAACATTATGGATTTCGGCATTCCCATGATGTATTCTTGGAAGGAAAAGATGTAAATAATAAGGTTATTACGAGGATGCCTCAAATTATGCACGAAAACAGTACATCGTCGCATGGACCTCCACTGCGCGTCGGTCGATACTCCCGCTGTACTGTCTTCGTGAATACTTTGGATATCCTCGTAATAATCTCGCAATATTAATACTTGTACAAGGTGTACTACACAGCAACCATCAAGAACAATGCTCAGTTGCATAACCTCGGTTGATGTTTACAATTAAGCCATTTGATTCAGTTATTGTCATTTATATTGTCAGAATCATGTTCAGTATTTTATATTGTTAAAATATTAGTGATACAATTATACTTATTTATCATA